TCGTCGCCGAAATGGTTCGCACCATCATCACCGTATCACGGTCCCGCTTCACAATGTTTCGTAATCCCGCCGTTGAAGCTTGTCTCGCTTAGGACACATTTGCTGGCCATTAGTAAAACGGCACCCTCAAAAAAGACAGGAACAAGCCAGCACTCGCGCTCATTCGAGGTATCACACAATGCTGCCTATGCCCTGGGCGCTCCACTCGCTCGTCTCGCGGTGCAGCGCGAGCAGGCCGTAGACGAGCAGCAGGGGGCGGTCTTCGTCCGGGGGCCGTCGGCGGGCCGTCTGCCGTCGGCGGGGCTGCGACCTTGGCGGGGTCGTGCGGCGAAAAGGCGGCGAGGTAGGCGCGTAGGTGGGCGACGGTGGGGAGGAAGGCGATGCGGATGTGTTTGGCGACGGCGACTTGGTAGAGGGGGGCTTGGAGCAGCGGCGACGCGGAGGTGGGTTGGAGGGTGCGTGCTGGCTCTGTGTCGAGGGCGGGCGTTGTCAGCTGGGCGTGGATGTCTTGCTGGAGGCTCGCGAGGAAGTCGGCTCGGGAGGCGCAGATGAGGAGGGTCGTGGGGTAGGTTTGGTAGGAGACGATGTAGTGGAGGAGGTCGGCGGGGGATGCTGGGGATTGGACGAGGGGGGTGATCATGGTGGGCGTGGCATTGGATGTGGGCAGAGTGAGTATGATGTGGTGATGCAGCGTGGTGATGCTCTGGTGGGTTGTTTATGGGGAAGTAGTAGATGGCGCCCACAGAGCAAACCCTAGGAAGGTATTAAGCTCGGGTCGTGAGATACAATGACCAGTTATCAATTCAATTTCATTTTTTTTTCATTGGTTATAATCCTTTCGTCTTCTCAACCTGCTTCGCATGGAACCATCAAGAGGTCTGGTGCTTGGTGGCGATCAGCTTGGGCATTGGAGGCCATGGAGAATGAGAAGTCGGGGATTTGCCTCAGTAAATCGTCCTGCTTTGACCATGTGGCACTTCAATCTTTTCTTGAGACTATAAAATCACAATAAAAAAACTACAAAAAAAACACCATGTTCGGACAGGCAGTTGATACTCGCAAGCACTCGACAGAACAACAGGCTGTACGGGCTCTCCTTTGGGGGCATTTTTGTCGACCACCTGTCAGGGCCGTCCAGCGCTTAGGGCCCAACCAGTCCCCTGTAATCTCAACATCCACTGTAATCTCAATATCCACTGTAATCTCAACAGCCTGAACACACCTCAGTCACCCAGGCTGCCAGGCTGCCAGGCTGCCAGGCAAGGAAGCCCCTTGGCAGCTCCCCACCTTCACAAGGCTGCCACCTTCACAAGGCTGCCACCTTCGCCAGCTGCCACACTCGCCAGCTGCTTCGCCAGCTGCCTCGCCAGGCTGCCACGCTCATCCATGACCGACGCAGGCGCGGCACGTCATTCCTGCCAGCCGCATCACCAAGCTCCCCTCGCCTCGGTCAACCTCACCCCTCATCATCCACCACCCCCAACTCCTCCGGCACCCTCGAGCGCCGCCGAGATGGAGTCTATAGCGAGGATATCCGATCTGCTCGAGAGCGGTGCGTCTTTCTCTATCCCCCGCCGCTTCGTCCCTCTCCCTCGCCCCGCCTCGCACCGCACCGCACCTTGGCGAGCTCCAGCTAACTCTTCGTCCCAGCCCGAGAGCTCACCCTCGATGCCGCCTCGGCTGCGCGCAGCTCACGCGCCTCTTCGCGACCCCTCGACCGGAACCAGATCAAGAAACTGCTCGACAGCCGGAATGATCGCGAGATTCTCGAGGGCTTGCGCCGCGTCATCTCGGTACGCCCACCACTGACCATACCACGAGAACCGCACCACGGAGAACGTCCCACAGACAAGCTGACATGTCCCAGATGATGTACCGCGCCCAGAAGACGCTGCCCTTCTTCTCGTCCGTCGTCAAGAACGTCGCCTCGCCCAACATTGAGATCAAAAAGCTCGTCTACATCTACCTCATCCACCACGCCGAGCAGGAGCCCGACCTCGCCCTGCTCTCCATCAACACGATCCAAAAGTCCCTCTCCGACACGAGCCCCCAGGTCCGCGCCCTCGCCCTCAAGACCATGTCCGGCATCCGCGTCCCCGTCATCAGCCAGATCGTCTCGCTCGCCATCAAAAAGGGCGTCGCCGACATGAGCCCCTTTGTGCGCCGCGCCGCCGCCCTCGCCATCCCCA